TAGGTTGCAGTATAGAATTCATTTGGTGTGAAGGCATTAATTATTGCTCAAGCATCACGGTGGGCAGAGCTCAGCCGGATCAAACTCGTTCACTACACCTTCTATATTTAGCTAAGATGCGGTTCGGCCTATTGAAGATTCGCCGTCGAACCGAACAGATGATCTCAGGTCAACTGAGTGGCTTCATCTTCTTACTACAAAGTCGAAGCAGAACAACTCTCACAAGCTCACATCAAGCTTTCTCAAAGATTTATCTAAAGCCAGATATGAACAAGACGCAGTACTACTTGTCGCAGTGTGCCAATGCGGCCGCCAAGAGTCCTATGTGCTTCACATTGGGTGCCATCATGGTCAAGGGCGGAAAGGTCATCTCAGCAGGACATAACCACTACAGGACGCATTACGATGGGAACGACCTAGCCACAAGTCGCCATCGAAAGGTGGGCTGCAACGATCTTCCGAAGTCCTCTTGATTGCATCTTCTCATGTTGCTTCCCTCAGCCTGTTTCAATGCATGCTGAGATGCATGCCATCTATGCGATCACTGGCATGTCTCCTTCGTTCAAGACGCAGGTTCAAGCCATTGCGCGGTCGACTACGAGAGAAAAACCGGACAAACAGGGTAAATTATGGGCCAAACAAGCGAAAGCAGGCCCGACAGCCCTCGCAGGACCGCATTAATCGCCCCCGCGATGAGTCTCCTCGAAGGTCAAGCGAGGAGCTTGCCGTCGATGACTGTGCTCTACCTCCTCTCATGTATAACCCCGGTAAAGGATGGGACGTCAGACGGAGAGATCCCAGGGTCAACGGCGCTGATATCTACGTCGCGAGGACGACAAAGAATGGCATGGGAGACGCAAAGCCGTGCTGGAGATGTCTTGAGTGGTGCAGATGGGCGGGAGTGAAGAGGGTGTTTCACTGGAACAGCGAAGAGGGACGATTCGATATGGTCAAAGTCAACAGCGAAGGGCGCGAGAACTATGAAACCCGTGCGGACAGCCGTCTATTCTCAGGGCACGTAAGTGTACAGTATAAACCTGGTTAACAGAGGGCCTGATATCCAAAACATGCATTTTGTAGGCGCTTCGGTAGCTACCGTCTCAGCGGATATAAACCGACTGAATTCATTGTACCTACTAATCATTGATAAACTTCGACGGACACAGTTTGTCTCAATTTATGTGAACCCATGTGAGGATGAAGTGTTGACGTGCACACGCTTTCATGCCTATAAACTCACTGAGGTTACTCAGTAGGGGTAATGGAAACGTTATATTGTAGGGCAGAGAAGCCTCTCATAAGGCGCTATAGCCAAGTGGTTAAGGCGATTGATTAGAACTGAATTCCGCAAGGAAATACTTAAGTGATCAATTCCACTTTGTGGGCGCAGGTTCAAATCCTGCTGGCGTCGTGTTCAATTTGTGCTGGGATTTTTTGGCCGATCTCAGTGTTCCTTCATGATAACTCATCCACGATTTTACTATAAGCATAGATTCCACGAACATGCTGATACTGTATTTCATTTTTGAGAGGAGTGATGAGGGCTAGTTAAAGGCTGTCGGTGTCTTTTCACTGTCACAGATTCCTCTCGGCAGACTTTAAGGCGGATTTTACGTGCAATCCTTCATTCGATAAAATACAGTAGTCAGGTATACTCGAGCAGGATGAGGATGCCAAAACCATGAATCGATGTGCAATGCAAAATAGAAGTGACAGCCAGCATGCCTCTTCGCTTATCGCTGCGCCTGATTGGATACCTATGCAGGTACATGTTCATGGGACAGCGTGCGATACAGTCGACGTGAAATAGAAAATTACCACTTCATCCACACCAAGCCACAGGCAGAATGCGTAGACGATACAGACTCACCATGCCATCGCCTGTCAAAGGACTCAACCCAAGACACATAATCGCAGACGATTCACTGCGTAAAACAGCGTTCACATATATAAAAGATGGATTGGGGGTATAACGCAGACACGGGCCAGACAGCATGACAAGAACACGAGCAGAGCGACAAGCTTCGATGAACACCCTACGAACACCACCACAGGCCTCCCCGCATCCCCGGCCCACTTCCGAACGAGCTACAAAACACCGTAGGCAGGAGCGACCTATAGGGCAGCAGCAACCGCGACGGTGACAGCGCCCAGGAGCGACGCAATGACACCCGCGCTCGATCCAGAGTGCGCAGAGGCGGCACCGCTGGTGAGGAGACCATCCGACAAGCTTCCAGCAGCCGCAACGGCGCCGCTAAGGAACGTGGCACCGCACTTTTGGGTGACGGCCTGGTAGAGCGGCGTCTGGCCCGCGAGGAGAAGACTGTTTCCGAGGCCGGGCGCGTAGTTCGCGTTGGACTCCCAGGAGATGTACGACGTGAGCACGGACTTTGTGCAGGGCTTGCAGAGCGAGCTCGAGTCGAGCGCCGGCTGCAGGAACAGGAACGCGGCATTGCTCGAGCCGAGCGCGGCGAAGTTCGGGGTGAGGGTGTCCTGCGAGCCGGTGTACAGGGACGAGGGGCTCGGCGGGGAACCGGGGAGCTGGGTCGCGCAGGACGAGCCGTCGTCGCTCTTGGAGCAGAGCGCGGTTTGCAAAGGGCTCAGGGTGTAGAGCGAGTCGTAGAGGGCGAGGACGTCCTTGTTGATGTTGGATGTGAGCTCGGCGGTGCAGGCCTGGTAGAAGGATGTGAGGGTGGTGCGCAGCTCTGTCTCGCCGCACGAGGAGGTGCCGCAGACTTGGGAGAGGGCGGCGGTGACGTCGCCGTTGCTGGCACCGGGGGCGAACGCTTTGGTCGCGGAGACGATCTGGGTCGTGCACGCCTCGAGGGTGGTGTCGTTGTCGAGCTTGGTCATGTATGCTTTGCAGCCATCGGAGGCTGTCGAGGGGATGGTCTACGTCGCAATTCGAATCAGCGGGTGTCCCTGACAAGACGCAGTATGACAACGACTTACCGAGGCAAAAGCGACCGAGGCCAGGAGGGAGATTACGGCAAAGGATTTCATCGCAAGGCTGGTATTTCGCTAGCGCGAGAAGGAGTGGACGAGTTGTTTAGTGTCGACGACGACGACTGGGTGCGAGGGCAAGTGGAAGTTTGTAGAAAAGAATGGGACGCTGGCGGGGCCGGATTGAAGTCGAGGAAAGGAACGACAACGAGCAACAAACAAGGCGTTAGCAACAAACAATCAAAATAAAAGGGGGAACAAATAGGCGTAAACAATCATGTGGCTGGCAGCCTTGGCACGGGCGGTGAGATTTGCCCGCCTCCGGCGGTCTAGACGCGGACAGGCAGCAAACTTAAGCGAGAAAAAAGTAAGCCGCTCAGTCGAGTTCACACAGAGGGCATGCATTCGATGCGGATATTTGATACATTTGACTTTTCTCTACTACACACTAATGAACACATTGCATTTTCCAAATGACACACGCGATCCCGGGTTCAAAGCGTACACGGACGTTTACAATTCTGAGCGCAGGAGTCAGACGTTTGCAACGTGAAAAATAGCGAAAACAGCACTCACTCTGCATGGCAGCGATATCAGTGCTCTGGACGAAGTCCTCGAACTCCGCGACCTTCTCCTGAAGGTCATCGAGCGAGACCAGGTCGTCCTCTGCGCACGAAAACATGAGCAGACTGCACCCGACACCCACATCGGAATATAATGCTCACCAACGACAAGCGTGATCTGCAGCTTGCGAATACCATAACCAATAGGCACAAGCTTGCTAGCACCCCAGACAAGACCCTCCATCTCAATCGATCTAACAGCCTTCTCAAGCTCCGCCATATCCGTCTCATCGTCCCACGGCTTAACCTCAAACGTCACAACCGACTTAGCAGCCGTCTTCGGCTTGCCCGCCTTCTTCGCGTTGTACGCAGCGACACGCTCCGCCTTGACGCGCTCGTTCTCAGCGTCATCTTCCTCGTCGTCTGAGCCGAACAGGTCGATCTCCTCGTCATCATCATCGGCCTTCTTCTCCTCTGCTGCTGGGGCAGAGGAGGCGCCGAGGAAAGCCTCGCCGGCGGTGCTGGACCCTGGGAGGGAATCGAACTCGGCGGTGTAGGACCCGATGTGGGTGTACCAACGCGCGACGCTGGGGAAGGAGGCGTCCGGGGCGGAGGCGATAGCCTTGTAGACTGCGACGTCTGCCTGCGAGGGGGTGTACCTGCGCGAGCGAAGCGGGTTAGCAAAGGTGCGTTGGGGTTTGTAGAGGGAGAAAATGGGAGGAGGGTCAGGAGGCTAGGTTATAGTTGGGTGTCTGCATGCTTGAGCAGCGGTGTCTAGTCGCTTCTTGGAAACACGGACCATAGCGTTGTGTTCATCACAGTAAAAACTGACTACACTACATTTCATTCGGCAAACTGGACACTCACCCTTCGACGTAGGAGCGGGTAGCGAGGTGCTGCTCGAGCTTGGCGAAGTTTGCAGACATAATTTCTGGTTTGCGAGGTGGGTGGTGGTGGTGGTAAAGGTGAGAGTGAAGCAAGGAGAGAGAGATTGAACAGACGGATATCGATGGACGATGGGCCGGACGCGGTACGAGAATTTTTTATGCGCGGTGGCTGTTTAGGGCAGGGCGGAGCGTGCTGATGATCATCAAGCGCACATCTCTACATCCCGTATGCAGGATCGATAATGAGTCGTATCTTATCGTATTAGCAGTACTTGATTCAAGGTATGCTTGAGGACAAGCCACACGAACCGATCCACAAATCCTAGCTCACCTTCACCTTCATGTTGTAAGCCTGCACGACGCCCCATCACTGCCCCATCCCGATTCCCCTCGACCCCCTCTGCTATGTCCCGATCACCCTCTACAGTATCACACCCTTCTATTCCGCCCGTCATTCCATTCGCTCTTCTTGCACCATCTTCCTTTTATATCCACTCCACCCGCCACTGTAGTTCGTCCCTCCTCCTCCTCCCCTCCTCCCGTTGTTTCCGTCTCATCTCGTCCCCCCCGTCGCTCTCGAGTCCCTCTCTTTCATGTATACTCGCTAGCTGATATGGCCGAGTCGTTAAGGCGAGTGATTTGAATCGGGTGTCACGTGACATCACGTGAGTCAAATATCACTTGGGCATTGCCCGCGTAGGTTCAAATCCTGCTGTCAGCGATCAATCCACAGCCGTATGGTGTGGGATCTCCTTTTTGGTGTGAGCTGCTTGATATACTGTATTGCGAACTCGTGTGGTTTGTGTCTTGGACTCTAATATAGTGGTCTCAACACCTTGGTGCAAATTAGAATGGCTTTAGTTTTTTTTGGTAGTCTGCCTGACATACTGTAAACTCGTGCAATACGCATCTTCAACTCCAGCACATTCAACAAGTACAGGGATGTAATAGCGACTACAGCGTAACCTTCCATCCGCCCGTCCGTCCCATAACATCCCTGGGATCCCAAACCCTCTTAACCTCCCTCAACCTTCCCAAACTCCCCCCAAACACCTCCTCCGGCGTCGTAACATGCTGACTCGCGAAATTCCCATACACACCCGCCTTGGCCGCATCAACAACCTGTCCCTCCCTCTCCAAAACCCCCTTCAAACTATTCGTAGCATCCCTCAGTCCGTCATTCATCACCCCATCTACGCTCGGGTCACTCCAGGACCATTCGATCGTGCTGGGCATGTAGGCGAAGGACCGGGAGGGCGGGTATGCGGAGCTCCCTTCGGGGGCGTGTGTGAGGAGGGTGCGGAGGAAGGGTTGGACTGCGAATATCATTATGGTGCTGGGGTCGAGTTGGGAGGCGGCGTGACCGCGGGTTATGGTTTCGTTGAGAATGGCGCGGATTAGGGAGGGGGTGTATGTGGGTGTTGGGTAGGTGCTGTGCCGGCCGCTGGGGAGCGAACAAGTGAGCGAAGGTGAGTGCGCGAGCGGGCGAACGCGAAGAGGGGAGAAGAGGTGAGTGAGCAAAGCGTGAGGAAGCAAGGAGGGACTCACCGCGCGTTCATAACCTCCGGCCCCACAAGCTCACGGAACGACATCGTCGAGAGCTGGGTGTCGACCGCGGGGATCGCGAGCAGCTCGTCGAACACGCCCGGCGCGGGTTCCGAGGCGTTGTAGTAGATTTTGGCGAACATCGCGAGCTATACGCGCGAAGCGTGTATCAGCGGGGTGTTGGGGAACCTAAGTTGAGTGATGAAAAGAGGGACGCACGGAGTTGTTGGCCCATTGGAAGCCGAAGTACAGCTCGCACTACACGGGTGGGCGGGCGGGGCGGTTCAGCGAACTGCAAGAACCAAAACGACGAAGGTGAACGCGTACCTGCGAATCAGTCGCGTTCGCCGAAAAGTTGGCGACGGCCGCGACGAGTCTGTCTGTGTATGTCGTATTGTATACTATCGTGCCGCCCCAGACGGGGCCTTGCGGGTATGTTTTGAGTGTTACGTGTGTTACTATGCCCTGTAGACGAGTTCAGCGAGAGAGATGGTGGGGAAGAGGGGAAGGGAGGGGAAGGACGTACGAAGTTGTTGTACCCGCCCTACACCCCACGCCAACAAACAAACGTCAGTACGAGGTAAGAACAAGGAAGAGGATGAGGATGAAAAGGTAGAAGAGGAGGATGGGGAAGGCTGACCTTGAGCGCCCAAAAGAGATCCGGGTTCTGCGTGGCGGAGGCGTTGACGACGTGTCCGCTGGGGACAACTACCTCGAAGGAGACGACGTTGTCGGCTGCGAGGCCTGCGGAGGATGTGAAGTATGAGTAGCCTGGGCGCTGGGTTAGCGCGTGTTCTTCTTCACAAAGACGAGAGGGAAAAGAAACGGAAGAGAAAGAGAGGAAAGAAAGGAAACGAGGAAGGGGAAGAGAACGAGAAATAGAGGAAGAAACGAAAGGGCAGGAGAAAGCCAAGAAAGAAAGAGCAAGAGAGAACGGGGAGGACAGAAGAAAAACAGCAGAAGAAGAACTCGCATACTCACCACCCCCCTGCAAAAGCCCCACCACGCCCACCCCCTGCTGCCGTCCCCCCACGACATTCCGTCCGCTCCCATCCAACGCAGCATTAACGTCGTCCCACCTCAACCCGCCGCCGAGCGTCAGATGCGTCGTGTGCGGGTCGTATGCGATGGTGTTTAGCCGGGTGAGGGTGAGTTGGATGCCGGGGGTGGAGGAGTCGAGCGGGTTGTAGGCGTGGCCGCCGGATTTGAGCTACGAAGTTAGTGTTGGTGAGCTGGGGAGACAAGGGAGAGGGAAGGAAGAGAAGGAGGGCGTACGGAGAAGGGCACGGTGGTTTGGCCGAGTATTTTCAACTGCAACGCGGTGAGTCAGGAGGGAAAGGGAAGGAGGGCAGGGAGGGAGAAGGCGTACGATGGTAGAAACGTCGCTGACGCTGCCGGGCTCGACGTCGCACGTCGCGTTCGCAGCGCTCGTGACGTAGTAGCGCTGCATGTCTGTTGCGAACGTCGGGGATCCTGATCATCATTGCATATCAGAAAGAGGGTGTAAGTACAGACGCGGTGCGCGGTAAACGCAAACAAGATGGGGGAGGGAGCGCACCGGGGTAGAACACGGCGGACGCGTTCGAGACTGCTTTGGAGATCGCGAGGCATGTCGCTTTGATGCTTGCGCTGCTTGCGGTGCTGTTAGACGACGCGAGCACGGCTGACGCGCCGCCGAGGAGCAGGGAGAGCTTGAGGAAGGTGTTCATGCCCATTCGCGAAGTAGGATGCGAGAAGCGGGAGGTGTGATGGTAAACTCGAGCTTCGCCGAGCTCTTGCTAAGCTGTGGGGAGCAGCTTTATACGTACGCGAGCAGGGCTAGGGTGGGGTTGGACGTAGCCATCATTCTTGGTGATGGCATATAGCGTCCCCACCGAAGCTGACTGGGCGCGCTGGCTGTATTGTCCTCGGACGCAGTGAGGAGCGGGTTGCCTGTACGGTGGCGGGTGTGTGGGTAGGTTGTGTGTGCTACCCCGCATGGCTGCGACAGGATCTGGCAGAGACGACAGTGAGCACAACTCTAATGGATCGCTGGCATCGAAGGGAAGGTAAGGAAGAGAAACACGTACGGCAATGGCATGGGAGCATCCGTCCAAGGTGACATGGCACAGACGAGATGGCAGCGTGCGTTCAAGGTCGGTTGGATGCATCACCATCGCCAGTGCGAGATCTGAAGGGGTATGACGCCGGCGGTCCGTGAGAAGCCGTGAGAAGCGTCAATTGAGGGAAGGGCAGGCACATCTCTTCTGCGCTGATGCACGCGATGATCTGCATCTCCTCTCCTCGCGTCCGATTGCTGCCGGTCTACTGTCGATACACCAGTAATGCAACACTGTTGCATTACTGTCATCATCCTGCGAGTAGTAGTATTTTCCCCTCGGAGAAATTGTCAGTTTGTAGCTTAGCTGTTCTGTACCGCACACAAATATACTTTTATTTTTTGAAGGAGGGATGACTCGTCAGGACATTCCGCACAAACCTAACTTTCTGTCCGCGAGAACATTGCCATTGTCACCCTCTGTCACGCATTAGCGCCTGT